ATGTAAATACATCCTGCATATCAGATATTTACATTATGATTCATAACAGTAGCAGAATTACAGTTATGAAGTAGCAATGAAAATAATGTTATGGTTGGAGGGGTCACCACAGTATGAGGAACCATATTAAGAGGTTGCAGCATTAGGAAGTTGAGAAACATGACTGGCGAAATTGTCCGGATGCCTAACCACTGTCTCCCAAAGCAGTTGCTCTACTCCAAACTAAAGAATGGAAAATGGAATGTTGGTGGGCAGGAAAAGAGATTTAAAGATGGGCTCAAAGCCAACCTTAAAAACTCTGGCATAGACACTGAGAACTGGAAATCCCTGGCCCTTGAGCTCTCCAGCTGGAGGTCAGATGTGACTAGCAGTGCTGTAGAATTTGGAGAGGCACGAATGGAGGGCAAACGAGAGAAATGTGCCAAGAGGAAGGCACGTCAAGCCAACCAAGACCGAGACCGCCTTCCACCTGGAAACCGATGTCCTCACTGCGGGGAACATGCAGGTCAAGAATAGGGCTCCTATTCCTACCATGCTTGAAAATCGACTTCAGGCTCTTTCTGACTCCAAGGTACCAATTTATATACATGTACAGAAGAAAATGGACAAGCTGGAAGGTGTCTAGAGGAGATGGTCAAAGGTCTGGAGACCTTTGCAACAGTTGAGGGAGCTGGCTTTGTTTGACGTGGGGAAGATTAGATTAAGACAGAGCATAGGAGCTGTGTTTAAATATTTGAAAAGATGTCCTATGGAAGATGGAACCAACTTGTTTTCTGCTGGTCCAGAGATTACAACATGGAGCAATGGATTCAAAGTACAGGAAGGGAGACCTCACACAAACATTAAGAAGAACTTTTTTGACGGTGCAATACACTACGTTGGAGTCCAGTGGAGTCTCCATCTTTGGATGGTTTTAAACAGAAGCTGGATGGTTATCTGTTTGGAATGCTTTTCATGTTTCTTCTGCATAGCAAGATGCATTTGGATGGGAGGGTGCTTGGGGTATCTTCCAAGTCTTTGTTTCTCTGTCTCCCAATGATATGTTATTATCCAAAGGTCATATACCTTTCTGTCTGCCTCATCACAATAGAGCATGGATCCACTTTAAATCTGGTTTCTGCCTCCTGCAGAATTCTGGGGTTTGTAGTTTAGTGAGGCCCAGGACCTCCCTGGCTAAGTAGTTTAAAGGCCCCTCCCTAACCTACAAGTCCCAGATTTCTGTAGGAAGCAGAAACTGTATTTAAAGTGGACCCATGCTCTGGTGTGATTATATTTATTTTATTTGTTTACAGTATTTATATTCCGCTCTTCTCACCCTGCAGGGGACTCAGGGCGGATTGCAATGCACATATATATGGCAAACATTCAATGCCATTAGACAGGCACAGAGGGAATTCAACATTCCAGCTTTCTGGGTTCATGAGTCAAGGTAGTCCCAATTCCAGCCACAGGGGGAGCTGCCGCTTCACCGTCCACTTGTAACATTGGCTCTTTTGATGGAGTACTTCCTCATTCTTCTGCACTCTGCTGGAAGGTTTTATGGCAGCATTTCTCAACCTGGGGGTCGTGACCCCTGGAGGGGTCACACAGGGGTGTTAGAGGGGTCGCCAAAGACCATCAGAAAACACAGTATTTTCTGTTACTCATGGGGGTTCTGTGTGGGAAGTTTGGCCCCATTCTATCATTGCTGGGGTTCAGAATGCTCTTTGATTGTTGGTGAACTATAAATCCCAGCAACTACAACTCCCAAATGTCAAGGTCTATTTCCCCCCAAAACCCACCAGTGTTCACATTTGGGCATATTGAGTATTTGTGTCAAGTTTGGTCCAGTTTCATCACTGTTTGAGTCCACAGTGCTCTCTGGATGTAGGTGACCTACAACTCCAAAACTCAAGGTCATTGCCCACCAAACCCTTCCAGTATTTTCAGTTGGTCATCGGAATTATGTATTCAGTTCCATCGTTGGTGGGCTTCAGAATGCTCTTTGCATTATAAATCCCAGCAACTACAACTACCAAATGAAAAAATTGATCCCCGCCCCTCCAACCCCACCAGTATTCAAATTTGGGTGTATTGGGTATTTGTGACAAATTTGGTCCAGTAAATAAACTACATCCTGCATATCAGATATTTACATTACAATTTGTAACAATAGCAAAATTACAGTTATGATGTATCAATGAAAATGTTATGGTTGGGGTTCACCACAATACAAGAAACTGTATTAAGGGGTCACGGAATTCAGAAGGTTGAGAACCACTGTTTTATGGCATTGTAAATTAGTTAAATTAGTCTCCCTGCATAAAGCGGTACCTAAATTTCCTACTTAACAGATGCTACTGTCTTTCGGGCTGCATAGGTCAACAGCAAGTTAGGCTATTAATGGTGGTGAGCTCACCTTGCCCCGTGCTGGTTTCCAACTCATGACCTCTCAGTCAGTAGTGATTGAATACAGCTGGCTACTAGCTACCTGCACCACAGCCCAGCTCTCTGTATATGTGGACCTTCCTGAAGTTTGTGGTCTTCATCTTATTGCTCTAGATCTTTTGCAAGTTCTTCTGAAAAAGCACAAACCATTTTTGTAAAGCAGGTCATCTGAATTCAGAAATTTGGACTTTCCTTTCCCTTTTAATTGTCCTTCCTACTATTTTATAGCCATGAGAGCAAATAAAGTACTCCATCACTTGTTGGTGACCTCCATTAGTGATTTATAAGAAGTCACAGCGTGATTGTCAGATATTACTCTCAAAGATTTTTTACCAATTCAGAAAAAGCACCTATTTTTAACAAATAAGTTTTTAATTCACATGTAGATGCTTGGCATGGCAAGTTTCCTTAAACTGAGCCAATGCAATTGGTTTCCCAAGGTCGGTACTGTCTACACCAGTGGTTCCCGGGATTGTGGCGCAGCTGGCTGAGTGTCAGCTGCATTAAGATCACTCTGACCAAAAGGTCATGAGTTCGAAGCCAGCCCGGGTTGGAGTGGGTTTCCAACCAATTGTGTAGCCTGTTGTTGACCTTTGCAACCCGAAAGACAGTTGTATCTCTCAAGTAGGAAAATTAGGTACGACCTTAAAGTGTGGGGAGGCTAAATTAACTAATTTATGAGGCCATAAAAAAGACTCCAGCAAAGCATTCCAGCAAAAAAGCATGCGGGGAATGCGGAAGTACTTCATCAGTGTCGCAGATGGACGATGAAAGCAACAGCTCCCCTGGCAGCCAGAAAAAGTTAAATAGTCTCTGTGTATGTCTGTATATGTTGTAAGTCAAAATTGGCATTGAATGTTTGCTATATATGTGTACACTGTAATCCGCCCTGAGTCCCCTGCGGGGTGAGAAGGGCGGAATATAAATGCTGTAAATAAATAAATAATAAATAAATTCCCAACCTTTTCTTGATCAGGGACCACTTGACCAGGAACCACTTTGACCAGGGACCACTTTGACCAGGGACCAAGTTGACTAAGGACTACTTTGACCAGGGACCAGTTTGACCAGGGACCACTTTGACCTGGGACCACTTTGACCAGGAACCACTTGACCAGGGACCACTTTGACCAGCTCATTAAGCCGCTCCTCATAGGGCTTGTTCTCCCGACCCTTGATCATTTTAGTTGCCATCCTCTGGACACTTTCCAGTTTATCAACTTCTCCCTTCAACTGCGGTGTCCAGAATTGGACACTGTGTGATTCCAGGTGTGGTCTGACCATGAAGAAAGCAATATTGCCCATGATGTTTCTAATGCTATTGTACCGTGCTTTGAAGAAATTACAGTTTTGGATGAAGTGGTGTCCGAAACTGGTTGCATAGAAAACAGCTGAAAGGATCGTCTTTGGACTTCAGCAAGCTTCTTCCTGCAATACTGTTATTTTTCATTCTTATTTTCTGCCGTTAAATCTCGCAAGCCTCGATGGTGGCTTTTAATCTATTGGAATTGGGGATATCCTGGTCTACATTCTCCATGTACCAAGGAAAAAATGTGACTTTTGTAACAAATCTGCCTATGTGTGATGTGGAGAACATAACCTTTTCCCCCTACGTTCCTTTTTAATGGAGATATATTCCATGATTTCTGCACATATTTTTGAGCTGGAGAATAAATATGTTCTCAAAGTCCTTTGCTGCCACCAAGAGGTGGTTTCCTGCATAAAGGAGGAGAGCTTTGTCCTTATTTGGGTTTTCTTTTGTGTTGCTACCAGTAAAGTTAGTAGATTCTCCAGCTGGAGTTCTTTGGTCTTTAGGGCTGTTTCCCTGGAAATCTTTGGAAATCTTTGGAGATCTCTGGATGCTCTTAAGACTGTTCTCCCCCGGAAAGTCTTAAGGGTTGAAGCTTTTGTACAGGAGAAGCTTGAACACGTCCTGTACATTAGCTTTCCTTACTGAGACTAACTAAAAAATGGCTCCCTTCCCTTCCCAATTGCTCTGAGCAAGGGGCGGAACCAAAACTTAACGATGATGGACAGGTGACTTGCCCTATGACTGCAACCAAAGGAAACCACCTTTCTGCAGAACCCTGAAACCTTGGGCTGCAAGCAAATATTTAATGCAAAGCAAATAAAATTGGAGCTCCTAGTACAGCCGTACCAGCACAGACAGTGTAGACGTACCCTAAGACAGCAACAACATATGGACACCAATGACATGGTTTTAAGAACAGTGATAAGGTATTAACATTATCAGCCTTTATTACAGTCAACACACCATTAGGTAACACACAAATATATAGTAAAGCAGCACAGTAAGTAAAAACGTTCAGTTATAAACATTTCTATAATTTATACCATTTCAAATATTAAAAAATGATTTTCTAGGTATATGAATGATTACAAAATGGCACAATATTAACAGTATGAAATATTTTGGACATTTCACAAAGAGAAATAAGTAATAGATAAGGTAGTAGGAAAAAAAAGTAGCTTTTTATCCCCTTTTCAAAAAAGGCAAATGGAAAATAGTTGAACAGAACCGATAGCAGGATGAAGTGCCATGTCTTGATCACCTTGTTCCGCATCTTTTGGAGAAGGATCCCAGTCTTTCGGTCCAAAGACAGCGGCGCCGATGCGCAGCCCGGTTTGTGTTGCAGGCATTGTTAAAAAGATCAATTTCCCCCTTCCCGTAGAGTCCGGTGAGCAATACTTGCAGTTCATCCAGGCTGCATTCCTTGACTTTCTCCTCCTTGTTCGTTGCAATGGCAGCCCAGGATGTCCGGCCTCTCTTCTCATGAACACAGCAAGTGGCAGACCAGATGTGGCTCGGCTGGTTGACCCTCTCGCCAAAAACATATTCCTCCCTGCTGGGCACCGCTCCGGCGATGACATACAGATCGTGGCAGAAATGAGCTTTTTGAGCACTTTCCTTGAGACTCTTTTGGTAGTTTCCCCATGAATATTCGAGTCCTTTGAACAGTGGGACGGCGTTGGTCAAGGTGGATGCCGCAACTTTGCTATCTTCGTTGGGTTGATGATCAACAGGGCTCAAGTATCCCCTCTTATGGTCGAGAAGGTACTTGTAGTCACTTGAAATAGCTTGGCTTTGTTTAAGCTGCCACAAGGGAATTTGGATTGTGTCTTCGTCTTCCATGCTTCTTCCAAAATTGAGCCCAACTAGCTGAAAAGCAGGAAAGAAATACATTTATCACTTATCTCTGGTTAAGGACAGTACAAATTATTGTATTGTCGAAGGCTTTCATGGCTGGAATCACTCAGTTCTTGTGGGTTTTTTCAGGCTATATGGCCATGTTCTAGAGGCATTTCTCCTGACGTTTCGCCTGCATCTATGGCAAGCATCCTCAGAGGTGAGGTCCTCAGCATCCTCAGACCTCACCTCTGAGGATGCTTGCCATAGATGCAGGCGAAATGTCAGGAGAAATGCCTCTAGAACATGGCCATATAGCCCGAAAAAACCCACAAGAACTGAGTACAAATTATTGTTGTGTGCCTTCAGGTTATTTCTGACTGATGTTGTCCCTAAAGCAAACCCATTGTTGTCAAATAATGCACTCTCAGAAGGCAAAAGCACTAGAATAATAGAATCATAGAGTTGGAAAACGAAAGCTGACTGGCACAACCTGGGGATCACAACCAGACACAGTGAAGACGTCGGCCCTTGCGCTATGCTACTCTGCTGCTGAGTATGCATGCCCAGTGGGGAACACATCTCACCATGCTAAAACAGTAGATGTGGCTCTTAATGAGACATGCCGCATTATCACGGGGTGTCTGCGCCCTACACCACTGGAGAAATTAGCCGGTATTGCACTACCTGACATCCACCGGGAAGTAGCAGCCAATAGTGAAAGGACCAAGGAAGTGACATCTCCAGCTCATCCCCTGTTTGGGTATCAGCCAGCACGTCAATGACTTAAATCAAGAAATAGTTTTCTAAGATCTACAGAGACAGTCGCCAGAATACTTCAGCAAGCGAGAGTCCAAAAGTGGCAGGCTCAAACCCAGAACCTCAATCAATGGCTGAGACCGGATGAGAGACTCCCCCCTGGGCACACAGAGGACTGGGCGACTTGGAAGGCGCTGAACAGACCACAAGATGCAGAGCCAACCTCAAGAAATGGGGCTACAAAGTGGAATCCACGACATGCAAGTGTGGAGAAGAGCAAACCATTGACCACCTGCTGCAATGCAACCTGAGCTCTGCCACATGCACCATGGAGGACCTTCTTATAGTAACACCAGAGGCACTCCAAGTGGCCAGATACTGGTTAAAGGACATTTAATCAACTACCAAGCTTACGAACTTTGTGCTTTGTTTGTTTGTTTAAAAATGCAGTACAACTGTTTGGTTTGCTCCTGACACGATACATAAATAAATAGAGTTAGAAGAGACCTCATGGGCCATCCAGTCCAATCCCCCGCCAGGAAGCAGGAAAATTGCATTCAAAGCACCCCCGACAGATGGCCATCCAACCTCTGTTTAAAAGCCTCCGAAGAAGGAGCCTTCACCACACTCCCGGGCAGAGAGTTCCACTACTGAACAGCTCTCAGAGTCAGGAAGTTCTTCCTAATGTTCAGATGGAATCTCCTTTCTTTTAGTTTGAAGCCATTGTTCTGTGTCCTAGTTTCCAGGGAAGCAGAAAACAAGCTTGCTCCCTCCTCCCTAGGACTTCCACTCACATATTTATACATGGCTATCATGTCTCCTCTCAGCCTTCTCTTCTGAAGGCTAAACATGCCCAGCTCCTTAAGCCGCTCCTCATAGGGCTTGTTTCTTTGTTTCTTTGTCTACTAGACAGTCAAATATCTCCTTACTTAAGGCTCTATCATCCACTTTTAAACTTGGTTGCCACCTGTTGGAAATAACAACCTTTTTCAAGCCTCCACTAGTAGTTTGCTTGCATATGATCCTGTTTTGCTTACTGTAATGTATATGTATGTCCTGGTATGCAGTTTCCTTTTACTTTAGAGTTTCTCAACCTGGTGGTCAGGACCCCTGGGGAATTGCCGGGGTGGGGAGGGGGTGGGGTTCAGATGGATCACCAATGACGGAAACACATATATTTCTGATGGCCTTAGGAACCCCTTTGGCAGAGGAGGCTGAACATCTCTCCACCTCTCCTCTTCCTTTTTGGAAACAGAGGGCGAATCCTCCCACCAAAAGCCCTCCTCTGCTGTGATTGGCCAGCCTCTCAGCCAAGGGGAGGGCTGTTTCTGAAATTCCAAATAGGGAGGGGAGAGCAGGTGTGCTTGGCGCATGGCAGCGTGGTGCATATGTGTAAGCAAGAGAGAGCTTGTGAGGCTGGAGGGAGGCTCGCGCCAGCAAGTCCCTTCAACGCATGGGATTTCTGTGTGGGAAGTTTGGCCCAATTCTATCATGAGTGGGGTTCAGAATTGTCTTTGATTGTAGGTGAACTATAAATCCCAGCAACTACAACTCCCAAATGTCAAGGTCTATTTTCCCCCAACCCCATCAGTGTTCAGATTTGGGCATATTGAGCATTTGTGCCAAGTTTCGTCCGGATCCATCATTGTTTGACTCCACATTGCTCTCTGGATATAGGTAAACTACAACTCCAAAACTCAAGGTCAATGCTCACCAAACCCAGTATTTTCTGTTGGTCATGGAAGTTCTTTGTGCCAAGTTTGGTTCGATTGCATCACTGGTGGAGTTCAGAATGCTCTTTGATTGTGGGTGAACTATAAATCCCAGCAACTACAACTCCCAAAATTACAAAATCAATCCCCTTCCTAACCCCACCAGTATTCAAATTTGGGTGTATTGGGTATTTCTGCCAAATTTGGTCCAGTGAATGAAAATACATCCTGCATATGAGGTATCATTACAATTCATAACAGTAGCAAAATTACAGTTGTGAAGTAACAACAAAAATAATTTTATGGTTGGGAGTCACCACAACATGAGGAACTGTATTAAGGGGTCACAGCATTAGGAAGGTTGAAAAATACTTCTTTACTTTATGTTTCTTGAGGTTGTGGGAGGGGCTGCAGACCACATGATCAGATCTGGGACTGCCCTGAGCTCAGACTCCATTTTTGAAAGACAGATGCCATTAGACTCTCAGAATGTTAAGATGATGCTGTTGAGTCTAAGAAAGATGCCCTGCGTTATCTGAACAGCAAAACCACTTCAAAGCGATCTATAACTAGATTGACAAGTTATGTACCTGCATGCTGAATATGTGAAGGTTGTGAGTAAACCAGATATATTACTTTTAACAAAGGGTACTTATTTTTGTCTCATGAGAGCATTATTTAGAAACAATATATTTTATGGGAGAGTAGATGTTTTTGGGCAACTGAAATAACACCTCTGAAGATCTGCTATAGATTTTGTGCACTGGCATATCTTTGTTCCTAATAGTTCAAAGAAATAACCAGGTATATCAGTCTAACAGCTGAGAAACCTAATTTGCCTTGCATGAATACTAGTGGATATTTACCACTAAGGAGAGGATTCACTCAAATGAGTATTTAACTCTTCTCAGGAAGATCATACTTTACAAAAGGTTTATGATAGTTCTAAATCAGGCACGGGCAAACTTTGGCTCTCCAGGTGTTTTGGACTCCAACTCCCACAATTCCTAACCAGCTGTTAGGAATTGTGGGAGTTGAAGTCCAAAACACCTGGAGGGATGAAGCTTGCCCATGCCTCTTCTAAATAGTGTGGATGCCAATTAATCTTTAAAAGGCTATGGAGATTTCTGGTTTTCCAAAAAGTTATGTTCTCAAAAAGGCCATGCCTTTCCCAAACCATCACCAGTTGGGTCAGAAGTTCTCTTACTTGTGGCTCTATCATCCACTTTTCAGCTTCACTGCCACGGCCAGGTTTGCATTTGTAAGCCGAGTATATAGGGATGCGTTGGTCTTTGTCGTACATGGTGGCAAAGCGGTAGGCCTTCTTGTAGAACTGGCAGATCCTGGCCTCGTTGACGGGGGTCAGGGTCTCTCCCGGTGGCTTCCGATCCAAGAAGAACTCAAGGCAGTTTGAAAAATCCTCTACCACCTCAGCCTTTCCAGGTATTGGAAAACATGCAACCAAAATGGGCAGGAATAAATAGAACATCTTTATGGTGGGATTCTGTGCCTGAAAGAAAGATGGTTGTATAGGTTAAAAAAATAATATTTCTTTGTGCACTATCTTATTTTTACCTACACTTCATTCATAATCTGATCTCTTTTTTCGATAGAGTTACAAGCTGGGTAGATGCAGGGAATGCCATGGATGTAGCGTACCTGGATTTCAGTAAGGCCTTCGACAAGGTCCCCCATGACCTTCTGGCAAGGAAACTAGTCCAATGTGGGCTAGGCAAAACCACGGTGAGGTGGATCTGGAATTGGTTAAATGGACGAACCCAGAGGGTGATTCTCCCCAATGCTTCTTCTTCGTCCTGGAAAGAAGTGATGAGCGGAGTGCCATCAGCAGGGTTCCGTCCTGGGCCCGGTCCTGTTCAACATCTTTATTAATGACTTAGATCAGTGGTTCTCAACCTGTGAGTCCCCAGATGTTTTGGCCTTCAGCTCCCAGAAATCCGAACAGCTGGTAAACTGGCTAAGATTTCTGGTAGTTGTAGGCCAAAACACCTCAGGACCCACAGGTTGAGAACCAGGAACTTAGATGAAGGATTAGAAGGCAGGATCATCAAGTTTGCAGACGACACCAAATTGGGAGGGATAGCCAATACTCCAGAGGACAGGAGCAGGATTCAAAACGATCTTGACAGATTAGAGAGATGGGCCAAAACTGAAGTTCAACAGTGACAAATGCAAGATACTCCACTTAGGCAGAAAAAACGAAATGCAAAGATACAGAATGGGGGACAATGCTTGGCTCGAGAGCAGTACGTGTGAAAAAGATCTTGGAGTCCTCGTGGACAACAAGTTAAACATGAGCCAACAATGTGATGTGGCGGCAAAAAAAGGCAATGGGATTTTGGCCTGCATCAATAGAAGCATAGTGTCTACATCTAGGGAAGTCATGCTACCCCTCTATTCTGCCTTGGTTAGACCACACATGGAATATTGTGTCCAATTCTGGGCACCACAATTGAAGGGAGATGTTGACAAGCTGGAATATGTCCAGAGGAGGGCGACTCAAATGATCAAGGGTATGGAGAACAAGCCCTATGAAGAGCGGCTTAAGGAGCTGGGCATGTTTAGCCTGAAGAAGAGAAGGCTGAGAGGAGATGTGATAGCCATGTATAAATACGTGAGAGGAAGCCACAGGGAGGAGGGAGCAAGCTTGTTTTCTGCTTCCCCGGAGATTAGGACAGGGAACAATGGCTTCAAACTACAAGAAAGGAGATTCCATCTGAACATGAGGAAGAACTTCCTGACTGTAAGAGCCGTTCAGCAGTGGAACTCTCTGCCCAGGAGTGTGGTGGAGGCTCCTTCTTTGGAAGCTTTTAAACAGAGGCTGGATGGCCATCTGTCAGAGGTGCTTTGAATGCAATATTCCTGCTTCTTGGCAGGGGGTTGGACTGCATGGCCCATGAGTCTTCCAACTTTAGGATTCTATGATTCTGGAAGAAGTGAAGTATTGAGCAATGATTCACCAGCACTGAAGCGATGATCCTTCACCAACAACTTCACTGGATCAACCACATTGTCCGTATAACCAGTCGCCTTCTCCTGAAGCAGTCACTTTATTCTCAACTCAAGATTGGAAAACAAAATGTCAGTGGACAGCAAAAGAGATTGAAAGATGGGCTTAAATCTAACTTTAAATTGCTATAAACACTGAGAACTGGGAAGCCTTGGCCCTGAAGCATTGGAATTGGAAGTCAGCTGTCATCAACTATGGTACCATTGATTTTGAAGAGGCACAAATAGAGAACAAAAGCCAAAATGTACCATGAGAAAGATGCTTCAAGTTAAACCTTGTTGGGACCACTTTCCATCTGGAAATGTATGTTCTCCCTGCAAAAGAAAGACCATGCGGATCCAGAATTGGTTTCTACAGTCACTTACAGACCCACCACCGAGACTCTACCCCTGAAAGATAATCATACTTGGCCATGAGGAATTGTTACTGTATGACTCCCATCAGCTCTAGTCATGAAGTCTAATGTTGAGGAATATAGGAGTTGTAGTTCAGGATGTGGAGGGCCATATATGTGATTTCAGCCATGGGCCTTGGGTTTAACACATGTGTCCTAGACAATTTGGATATATCTTGAGCATCTTCTGTTTTGTGTAAAACCACTCTTCCTTTTGAAAAGATAACCAACCTCAAGCTGATCAGAATGGCATGAATTCGTTTTTTCCATCCATACATGAGAAACATTTGCAGGTGTTCTCGCCTGGCAGAGCAGCTCAACAGGGCAATTTTGCAACAACCCTGCAAACAAACCATTACCTTGCATGACTATCCGGGTTCGTTATCTTTTCATTATTCATATGTTTTGTTCAAGCACATTCTCTTTACTCAGTTATGTATAGATGTGGATGATCAGTGTACTGCTACTAAGGCTAAAAGGGCCCTCATGGGCATGTTGACTCAGAACATGTATGAGTTCATAATGTGCTCTGACAGCATACCTGGTAACAATGGCTGGAATCCTTTGGTGCGCTACAATGGAAGAGATGGTGACAATGGGGGAGACTGACCACCCCACTGTAGACATCACCAAATGCAACCTTGTGTCATGTTGCTCCTTAAGCCTTTGGTAATATGTGTCTCTACCTGTCCCAACTAAACCCATTGGATATGATTTTCCCAAGAGAATTCCTGGTACCAGGTAAGACTGTGAGATGTGCAGGTCTTGCTTCCAAAAATATCTCTCCTAGGTTTAAATTGAGCTTGCACACACAGAAACAGAGTGGAAATGCTCTAGACCACATATGGACAATCTTGGGCCCTCCAGGTGTTTTGGATTTCAACTCCCATAATTCCATCAGCCAGTAGGAGGGCCCAAGATTGTCCATGCCTGGTCTAGACGCTTTATAATGGTAAAGGTAAAGGTTGTCCCCTGACATTAAGCCCAGTCATGTCTGACTCTGGGGTGTGGTGCTCATCTCCATTTCTAAGCCAAAGAGCCAGTGTTGTCCATAGACACCTCAAAGGTCATGTGGCCGGCATGACTGCATGGGCTCCAGACACTTTATAGAGTAGAGCTTTAGAGATGATTTTGGGATTTTGAGCCTTCCAGCATTTTCAGACATTTGTACATCAGACCATAAAGTTAATTGTTGGTCCCAACTATGATACATTGACTGTACTGACCAGCATGAAGGTTTGTTTATTTAGTGGGTCTATTCCACTAGGTTTAGACTTAGGTGTTCAAGATTTTATTGCTATATGTATTCAGCATTGAAAAAGTATAAGTGTGTGTGTGTATACACACACACACACACACACACACACACACACTAGCCATCCCCTGCCACGTGTTGCTGTGGCCCAGTCTGTGTATATGTGTTTTGTGTGTGTGTTGTTGTTGTTCATTCGTTCAGTCGTCTCCGACTCTTCATGACCTCATGGACCAGTCCACGCCAGAGCTCCCTGTCGGCCATCACCACCCCCAGCTCCTTCAAGGTCAGTCCAGTCACTTCAAGGATGCCATCCATCCATCTTGCCCTTGGTTGGCCCCTCTTCCTTTTGCCTTCCACTTTCCCCAGCATAATTGTCTTCTCTAGGCTTTGCTGTCTCCTCATGATGTGGCCAAAGTACTTCAACTTTGTCTCTAGTATCCTTTCCTCCAATGAGCAGTCGGGCTTTATTTGTGTGTGTGTATATATATATATTTGTGTGCGTGTATATATATATGTATATGTATATGTGTGTGTGTCTATATTTGTATATATGTGTATATATGTGGTTTTGTGTATATATGTGGTTTTGCGCATGCGTTGTATTGTATTTTTTTGTTTTTTGGCTTTTAAAATCTCTTTTCCTGTGTTTTTCAGTGTTTTTTTATGAGTGGTGGTCACTCGTTGGCCTGATAAGTGTATTGTGTCCAAATTTGGTGTCAATTCGTCTAGTGATTTTTGAGTTATGTTAATCGCACAAACGAACATTACATATAAGGCCCAACACAGAGGAAAAGAAAAGGAACAAAGCAGGTTGGCTGTGGTTAGGTGAAGGATTAGCTGTTGCTGGGTGAAGTGGCCTTCCTCGATGTCACTGGGAATGAATGTGAAGGAGTTTGGCTGCTGATAGGTAGCATGTGTATAAGGTAGAGAGGAGGGAAAGAAAGGAAGGAAAGAAAGAAGTGGAGGGAGGAAGGAGAAAACAAATGAGGGAGGGAGGGAGGGAAGGAAGGAAGGAAGGAAGGAAGGAAGGAAGGAAGGAAGGAAGGAAGGAAGGAAGGAAGGAAGGAAAAGGAAAGGATGTGGTGTAATGTAAAATAAACCATGTGTAGTTCATGTTTGATCAGTTCACACACTGTCTTGTCAGAGAAAGAAAATATGCCACATAGATTATCAATAACGAACAAACAATTTACTCCCCATAAAGCCGAACAACATATGTACAATCATGTGAACATTTGTACTAACTCACATAATGTCCTTTTAGAGACATTTAAAATGGTCTTTCGATGTCCATGCGGAAAGTCCCCTTCCAGCAGCTCATGAAGCAAGAACACACTTGAAAACTGTCTCTCTTTGCTTCTGCAAGCACTTGCACAGTTCAAGCCTGAATAATGTAACAGTAACCAAAACTCCCAGGCTCAGCTAGCTCCCAGGGCATAGCCCAACCAATCTGCTTCGTAATTCTTACTTTACAGTTGACACACATACACTTATTGATTTCTTACATGCCCTAACAAAGGGGAAATGGTATGAGTGAAAGAAAGAGAAAGAAGGGGAGAAAAAGGCTGCTGATAGGTGGCATGTGCATGAGGGAGGGAAGAAGGAAAAGAAAGGAAAGGAAAGAAAGAAGTGGAGGGAGGGAGGAGAAAACAAAGGGGGAAGGAAGGAAGGAAGGAAGGAAGGAAGGAAGGAAGGAAGGAAGGAAGGAAGGAAGGAAGGGAGGAAGGGAGGGAAAGGAAAGGATGTGGTGTAATGTAAAATAAACCATGTGTAGTTCATGTTTGTTCAGTCCACACACTGTCTTGTCAGAGTAAGAAAATATGTCACACAGATTATCAATAAAGAACAAGTAGTTTCTCTCCGTAATGCAGAACAATGTATGTACAATCATGTGAACATTTGTACTAACTCACATATTGTCCTTTTAGAGAGATTTAAAATGGTCTTTCGATGTCCATGTGGAAAGTCTCCTTCCAGCAGCTCATGAAGCAAGAACACACTTGAAAACTGTCTCTTTCTGCTTCTGCAAGGCTGAATAATGTAACAATAGCCAAAAATCCCAGGCTCAGCTAGCTCCCAGGTCATAGCCCAACCAATTAGCTTCGTGCTTCTTATTTTACAGTTGACACGCACACTTACTGATTTCTTACATGCCCCAACAAAGGGGAAATGGTATGAGGGGAGGGAGTGTAAGAAAGAGAAAGAAGGGAAGAGAAAGGAAGGCAAGAAAGAAATGACAAAAGAACATGGGAAGAGAAAAAAATAAGGAAAAAAGGAAGGAATGAAGAGAAAGGAAAAAAGGGGGGAAGTGGGAAAAGCAACGGGAAAAGGAAAGAAATGAGAGAGGGTAAAGATGCAGGAAGGAAATGGAGGAAGGAAGCAAAGAGGGGCTACCCAATCCCCCAATTTTTAGAGTGTTGTCATGGAGGCATTGTGAGGTAGGCCTTCTGAGAGCTGGAGAAGGGAGGAAGTAGGCAGTTGGCTCTCCCAACAACACATGGCCAACACTGGATCTATTCTAGGCATGGGCAAACTTTGGCCATCCAATGTTTTGGACTTCAACTCCCACAATTCCTAACAGCCTCAGGCCCTTTCCTTTCCCTCTCAGCATAGGTCGCTGAAGAGGAAAAGGAAAGGGCCTGAGGCTGTTAGGAATTGTGGGAGTTGAAGTCCAAAACACCTGGATGGCCAAAGTTTGCCCATATCTGGTCTTTCTGGTCTTCACTCCTGGGTTATTTACATCCATTGTTGAAAGGATCGATCTTTTCCTTCCCATAGAGTAGAGCAAGCTCCTTCTTCAGTTTCTCCAAGTTGTATTGCTTGACAATGTTCTCGTTGTTCTTCGCGATGGCGCCCCATGCGTTTCTGCGGTTCTTCTCACGCAGGCAGCAGGCTGCGGACCAGATGTGGCTGGGCACGTTGACCCTGCCATCGGCTATGTACTCATCCCCAGGCACAGCTCCTACAATGACGTACAAGTCCTTGCAGACCTGAGCCTCTTTCTTGACACTGTCTTCATAGGTGGCCCAAGCGTCTTCGTTGAGTTTGCTAAACTGGGGCACAATGTTGGTCAAGGTGGAGGTGGCCGCTCGGCTGTCTTCGTCCGGTTGGTGGCAAACGGGGTTCAGGTGCCCCTTTTCGGTGTTTAAGGCTTGAGCGTAATCTTTGAATGTGGCCTGGTTCTTTGCAACGCCTGAAGCAGCGATGTTGGTTTCACGCTCGTCTTCCATGCTTCTCCCTAAAGCCAGGTCTACAAGCTGAAAAGTCCAAATCAGGGGCATGTAAAGTTATGTTATGTTATGTTGTTTACTTTATTTGCCATATTTATATACCACCTTTCTCAGCCCGAAGGTGACTCAAGGCGGTTTACACAACGGCACAATTCGATGCCCCCAACAACATAAATCACAATTAAAAACATTTAGCATAAATATAAAACCACACAATCAATAAAAAACCAATAAAAACATGGATCCTCATCTCATTACTAAAATCATTATCCAATTATCCAGCTGTTCTGTAGATCCAACTTTGTCTGTTACACTGCATCTGTAAATGCTTTCTCAAAAAGCCAGGTTTTAACTTTTTTGCAAAACATTAGGAGGGAGGGGGCCGATCTGATATCCCTAGGAAAGGCGTTCTACATCTGAGGGGCCACCACTGAGAAGGCCCTGTCCATCATCCTTGCTAGCTGAATCCGTGACAAAGGCAGGACTGAGAGTAGGACCTCCCCAGACGATCTTAAGAGTCCTAGATGTTTCATAAGGAGAGATACATTCAGACAGGTAAGCTGGGCCAGAAGAGTTTAGAGCTTTATAGGATAAAGCCGGCACTTTGAATTGTGCCCGGTAGCAAACAGGCAGCCAGTGGAGCTGGTGCAACAGAGGAGTTGTGTGCTCCCTGAGTGCTGCGCCTGTTAGCAACATGACTACCGTCTGTTGGACCATTTGGAGCTTCTGAACGGTCTTCAAAGGCAACCCCATGTAGAGTGTGTTGCAGTAGTCTATACGGGCTGTGGATGTATTGTTGAAGGTTTTCATGGCCGGAATCACTGGGTTGTTGTAGGTTTTTTCGGGCTATATGGCCATGGTCTAGAAGCATTCTCTCCTGACGTTTCGCCTGCATCTATAGCAAGCATCATCAGAGGTAGTTGCCATAGATGCAGGCGAAACGTCAGGAGAGAATGCCTCTAGACCATGGCCATATAGCCCGAAAAACCTACAACAACCTGTTATGGATGTTTTGCAAAATATTGTTTACATGTTAATTTGGTTTTGCATTTATTGAACAGAGATAATAACAAGGGGGTGATTGGTGGAAGGGTTGAATAAGGATGGTTGTTGATGGGAATTGGGAGAAATTGGTACGGCATCCTTTCGATCTGCAGAAAGGGAGGTTTGTGTGGGCCATACTAAACTGCACCATATAACAAAATATGAAAGTATTGTTTCCTGTTTAATTGTGCGATGTTTACTTTGACAGTAGTTGTTACACTCCAGAAACTTTGTTTTTGTGGCTGCCACAAAGTATGTTGAATTGGTTGAGACTCACTGAAAAACTATAGCAAAATGTGCCTCAGGATGTCTCTCCCACAAAAACAAAGTGTTTGCAGTGGAACTCCCTGCCCCAGAGTGTGGTGGAGGCTCCTTCTTTGGAAGCTTTTAAACAGAGGTTGGATGGCCATCTGTCAGGGGTGATTTGAATGCAATATTCTTGCTTCTTGGCAGGGGGTTGGACTGGATGGCCCATGAGGTCTCTTTCAACTCTTTGATTCTATGATTCTAATAAACTTCCCCGTGTTTTTCTGATAGAACCAATTAGCAAATGACATTTATAACTTAGGAACAAAACCCATGTTACTTAGTGTTATGAATACCAAGATGTTGCCATGATAGTTAAAGAGGAATCAGTGTTCTGGTTACAGGAAAGGGAAAAGCTGCACATCACAAGTGCTGAACCTGACTCAGCACATAGAAGATGGTTTTGAAAGACAGCAGATTACAGGAGCTGTCTTCATAGACCTGTCAGCAGCTTATGATACTGTAAACCATTGCCTCCTCCTGAAAAAATGTATAATATCACAAAGGATTACCACCTCATCTGCTTCATATGAAATCTGCTACAAAAGAGGAGCTTTTTTGTCAGGTTCCAGGGCCAGTGAAGCAGATGGCAAAAATAGAAGAAAGGCCTGCCACAGTGAAGCGTGCTTGCTCAATCAATGTTCAACATTTACACAAATGACCAGTCACTGCCAGAAGGGACGGAGAGTTTCATCTATGCTGATGATCATGCCATCACCACCCAAGAGGGGAGCTTTGAGATGGTTGAACAGAAGCTCTCCGAAGCTTTAGTTACTCTTACTGCCTGTTACAGGGAAAACCAGCTGATTCCTAATCCATCTAAAACACAGACATGTGCTTTTCATCTTAAGAACAGAGAAGCATCTCGAGCTCTGAGGATCACCTGGGAAGGAATCCCTCTGGATTGCAGCACACCCAAATATCTGGGAGTCACTCTGGATCATGCTCTGACTTACAAGGAGCACTGCTTGAATATCAAGCAAAAAGTGGGTGCTAGAAATAATATAACCACCCTGAGTCTCCCGCAGGCTGAGAAGAGCGGTATATAAATACAGTAAATAATAATAATAATAATAATAATAATAATAATAATAATAATAAAAAATTTGAAAGCTGACTAGCACAACCTGGGGATCACAACCAGACACAGTGAAGACATCTGCCCTTGTGCTTTGCTACTCTGCTGCTGAATACGCATGTCCAATGTAGAACACATCTCACCACATTCAAACAGTAGGTGTGGCTCTTAATGAGACATGTTGCATTATCACCGGATGTCTATGCCCTATGTGAAGATCCCTTACCTTGCCAGCCTGGGTGGCAGGGCCTAGGAGAGGCAGGCTAGTTAGTTTCAGCCTTAGAAGGCCTGGCAGAGGGCAGCAGGAGCCATTTTAGTTTAGGGAAAGCTCCAGTTCAGAGAGGGGGAGTGGCCTAGGCCTGAGCCAGCCTTAGAGCAGCCAGGATTGGTTTATTAAAGGGGGGTGGAGTTAGACTGTTTGGAGGGAAAGAAAGAAGCTTTTTTAGTGAGTCAGTCTGTTGATGTTAGAGTTTAGAGCAGGATTACAGAAGCTTTTAGGAGTTCGTGTTAAGAATAGGCAGTTTGCCTGAAGTTTGCCAGCGAAGTAAGCTGTGGCAAACTGGGTACAGCTATTTAGGGAAGAAATAGCTGGGTTTTCTATTTGTAACAAAGAAAGAACCATTCTCATGCAACTGTTACGCTTTCAAGAACCAAAACATTTTATCTGTAACAGCCAAGCCTATTAAACAGCATTTACACTTTCTTCTGTACTATATTAAATAAACTTTCCTTGTTCTTTTGAAACTTAAAAGCCTGAGTCCAGTGTACATTTGTGGATTTAATCCATTTTCCTTTCCATTCCACCTCACCTGTTTTCTTTCAGAGAAGCCGTTTAAAAGACACAGTACTTGGTGGATTAAAAAGCCTTTTTAATAATTTAACCAGCTAGAGGGTTCCTGTTCATTTAGTTTATGGTGGCAGCGGAAGTTAATTAGTGAGACAATCCCCTCAAACGTTCTATTGGTGCCAAAGTGGTGTAAATTCTTTATATTGGAGGGACAGTGGTGG